AAACAATGACATTGACCGGGAAGATATCTATCACAGAAACCAGTTGTCACCCCTTATTAGAGTAGGTTTACTTGAACTTTATGTTAATCACCACCATACTGCATTTAAAGGAAAGGAAGACGGAAAAAGGTTTCGAAGGCAGATACTGGCAGTGAGATTTTGACTTTTATCGTGCAGGACAGTCAGAACAAAATTCAGCCAGCCGATGACTCAAATTAGTCACCTTTGAGCCACACTCAAACATTTCTATAAAGAGAAACCGCACTATATATAGGTACAAAGCTAGTTGAACAGGGTTATTTACAAGTTCAATGTTTAAATAAATATGTGGTTATAAATGTGACTGATCCTTGATACTCACGTGAGGCCTCGCCTATGCCTGTAATAGCATAACTATGAACTCATTTAGGCTCGATTCTGCATGTGCGGGAGGGTATTTGAAACTATTACAAGTAGAGGATAGCATTCTACTTCTCCTTTGCACGGTGAGTATACAAATACATATATATATATTTTTTTTTTGCCTGAGTTGTAATTATCAAACCTGTCGCGTATTGAGTTAATGATCCATGTACTTTCTAGTATCGTGAAGGCAGGAACCTCACGGTATTATCAGGCTTCTCTTTTATGTGAATGAAACTCGAATAAGATACCTTTCTTAGACAAAAACCATGTCTGATCTCTTTGATTAAACCGAGAGAGGCTCTCTTCAAATAATATTGACCCATTTTTTTACTTCTTTACGAGTTATCTCCAGTTACACCGCAAACTATAAATACGATAAGTTTAAATCGAATTTTACGGAACCCTCATCTTCGATTCCCTTTGGCAGTATTTTCACGAATGAATAAGAAGTTGATCGACAGTAAACAATATCAGTAGAACAAAGCTGAATCAAATTTTCAATGTTTAAGTAGCGTTACCGACTGCAAACAGTCGCGTGACCGTTAAAGTTATAACAATAACGTAGGGGAAATCCGAGGGATCATCAGACTGCATCTTTCACGAGTCATTCGTGTTTCAAAACTCGATGCTATCCCGTTGAGGTTTTCTCCATTAATATTCGAACTTGGTAACTTGAATATTCATAAGAATGCCTTTAAGGGATAATTGGAATGAAAAAAGTAATCACTCTGGGAAATTTTGTTATTATTTTGTTTGGTTTAAATTAAGCAAAGGTGAAAAGAAACCGGAAAATCGCGGAGTTCTTTGACTCAGTCATATGTTCTTGATTGTGCAGCGCATGTGGTTAAAAATTTCGTGCATGCACTATGATTCAACATTAGTAGAACGAAGCTGAAGAACGGAATCAACTTTTCAATGTTCAATGAATATTACCAACTGCAAACGGCGTGGGCATAAGCGGTGGCGTGACTGTTAAAGTTATTACACTAAAGGGGAATCAGGGGAATCATCAGACCGAATCATGGGTTTTTCCCATCGATATTCGATAACTTGGATATTCATAGGGATGCCTTTGAAAGATAATTGAACTGAAAAAATTAATCTCTCTGAAAAATGTTATCATTTTGGTCGGTTTAAATTAAGCGAAGGTGAAAAAAAAAACTTGAAATCGAGTTCTTTGACTCAGTCACATGATGATGATCGTGCAACTCGTGCATTTGAAATCTTTGTGCATGCATTATGATTTATCAATTAATTTTGTTAACTAAAAGTACCGCATTGCGTCATTGCATAAGTATTTTGTTACGTCATTGTGTCCTATGTCACTTTGTATCAGTTCTCTCGCAAAACTATTCAAAGATGGCGTTACCAGAAAAAATAGGAAAGAGTCACGACTGTGTTCCGCGACTGCTTGATTCAGGTAAAGGAAAAACTTAAATTCCAAGCAATATGATAACTTGGAAAGGTGCAGCAGATCTGCAGGCAGAACAATTGATCGCCTACGGTTTCCAGTTCCGACAATGGGTCAGCCTATCCTAGTCTTTTCGGGACATGGCAAGAACCTGCCATTGTGGACGATTCATATTTGTCTATGAGTCATCCATGAGATTCATCATTTTCGCAGTGTAAGCCTCCTTGACGCACAAGTATAAGGACAGAAATCAAGTGCCAGTACATGCAAGTGAAATACAGTGGAAGCCATTTTTTTTATTTAGACTCTCGCAGTAATCTGCGATCACTTTACCGTCAAAATTTATAACTTGACGTATTTCGAATGAAACTTAATTCGTAACAATCATACAGCTGAAGTAACGGTATATGGATGGCTAATGCTATCTATCTCAATTTGTACGTGCGAAAGTGAGAATCAGCTATTGCGTATAATTGCATGTATGTTTTTGTTTGTAATCTGCCGTCGTGATAAGTTGACGAGTTGTAGAACGGTCAAGAGAAGAAGTTTGAACATTTTGAGATCTATCTAGTTGACTGTGAGAACTTTACTGCGAGTTACATGACGATAGCGTTCAACAAAGTTTGGTGGATTCCCCGAGCTTCAAACTACCGTTGCGTCTGCATTCAAAATGGTCTCGAAGGTAAATCAGAACCGGTGAAGTGTTCGGGACAGATTATACTCTTACTTAGTTAAACGAACGTCTATCACAAGAATACCATATGAAAAACGAAGCTATCGAAAACATTTTCTTCAATCCGTAAATAACAAGGGGAGGGAATTTCGGTCAAACAATTAAGCAAAGGTCAGGTTTTCTTACTCAATATTTTTGCTTTGACTGTGTAAATCGGATTTAACTGAAGCGAAGCTTGAAATTATAATTGCTCACTCATTTGTTGTCAGTCAAGTTAATTGACTCCGCTCTATTAGGTAAAAAATGACATCCCTTTCCAAAACATCTTTTGAAGTAGCCATTTGAATGAAATTCTTTAAATTTTGCTTAACGTGCACTTCGTGTATAATGATACGCAGTGTGTCAGAAGATAAGAATGTTTTCCGTGACAATCCCCAGGTAGTAGTAAATACACTGAACACATTTTTGTAATAATCACCAGGCATAACTTTTTGTTAAAAATAGCTATTAAGCATTTCAAATATTACATAGGAACATTACATAGTTTATGTAATAAACATTACATAAACTTTTACATTTACCAGTTAGTCAAGTAAATTCCCAAAAAGGTTATGCTATGTATAGATAATCAGTCATTAACTGAAGAATCTTCCATTTGATACCTTGGAGTTTATTTAGCGTCAAATATTCGTTGGAAGAGCTAAGTTAACTATATTGCTGAAAAAAATCAAAAGAAGTATAGGTATTCTCTCTAGGCTTTGTTATTTCCTAAACACAAAAATTTATTAAGCCTGTATTATACCTTAGTAGAGCCATTCATAAATTATTGTATACTTGCTTGGGGTAATACATATCAGTCAATTTTACAACCCTTGTTTACATTTATTATAATTAAAGAAAGCTACAAGAATGATAACCTTTATTAACCAGCTTCACTGAACACTCAAGTCCTTTACTTAAAGACTTGAATGTTATCAAGCTGTGTAATATCATTACCCTTCAACTTGCAGTGTTTATGTATAAGTTCCATTACAAACTTTTACCTTCAGTCTGTGATACCTTTTTTAATCTTGTGAAGAACATTCATGGATATAACACTAGGTTGTCCTCCAGGATGACTTATGCTATCCCAAAAGTCAGAACAAATTATGGAATTTTCAACATAAGTTTCCAGGAAGCTAAAGTTTGGAATGATAAGTGATGACATAAAGCCTCTCTCTCTCAAACGTTTTAAGAAAAAGTTTAAGTCAATTCTTATTGCTAAATATTGATTGCAGATTTACCAAACCTATATTTTTTCGGCTTTCCGTTGTTAAATACTGGCATACTTAGCTTTCTTTTGTTGTCTTTCTTTTTCTACTAGCTTTTTTTCTTTTTTCTTTTTGTGTTTTGTGTAGTGTATGTGCATGTGTTGTATCTGACCCCTAAATATAATAATTTATCAATTATCCATGTAAGGCTGCCCTATCTTTTTAGCCCCCAATGGTTATTATAGGCAGCCTGAACTCTCTCCATTTTTCATTTTCATAGTCTTTCTTTTTCTACTACTTTTTTTCTTTTTTCTTTTTGTGTTTTGAGTTGTGTATGCATGTGTGTGGTACCTAACCCTTAAATGTAATAATTAATTAATAACCTAAGTAAGGCTGGACTTTCTCCATTATTCATGAAATATATATGTATTGTTTTATATTGTGTAAATTAATGTAGGGTTCATGTAAATTAGTTGTCAAAGGAAGATACATGCAAAAGAAAGTGTCCTTACAACTTCTCGTTGATTCAAGTGTGTCATTCAGAAATGGGTGTTACCGCTGTATTTTGTGCTTACAAGGCTCGATTTATTCCTTTGGGTATTCACTTCAGGGGCCACGTAGAACTGCCGAAAGCGTAATGACTAAGTTCGGATTCATTCGTTCTGGAAAAAGTGAGATCTTTTGGCGTCTGCAAGTGTATCCTTTTTGTTTTGATGTGTCAATGAACTCCAAAGAATGATTGAAAACATTTCATGCCTTCAAGTTTTTTCGCTCGATGTTTTAAAATTTGAATTGTATACGGTAGCCAAATTTTTGAGATTCCCTGATCTGACATGTCCCGAAAGACTAAGCTTACGAAACGCTGTATGTATGCAGTGGAATTACGTCTTAGAAGAAAATCAGTGTCATAAGTTGAATGTTTTGCATCAATATTTATCTTTATGTTTAGTATAACGCTGCATTTTTTTCATTTCAGTTCGTTTCAGGCACTTAAGTGTTTTTTTTTTCACTCTGATCTCCATCGAAACCGACTTCCGTCTTGCGAAACTGTCAAAACATTGTTAAGTTTTACGAAGGCTAGTCTGTCGACGCTTCAAGCGGCGAAAGACGAATATTTTTTTCAAAGATAATACAAATACCTTCACTTCGTTTTCCGAACAGTCGAAAGCATCTAAGAATCAGGTGTGTCAGAGGCGGAGCAAAAGCAAGTTTCTAGATTTATCGAAGGAAATACAGTGTATTTCAAACAGGCGTACATATTTAGGTTAATCGCTGGTTCGTGTTGGTATGGTAACCTATTATGATACAACATCCGTGGGAATGCCCCGTAAGGGATTTTTGTAGCTTTATGTCATTCAGTGATAAGAAGGATATGGAAGCAATCTCTCTAGGTAATCGAACATACGTGTTTGCCACAAATTGAACACAACCAGAAGAAGCTTTTCGGAGGTTGACTTCTAGACCATTGGGAAGTAAAACAAACAACCTCAAAATTAAATAACCTGATACTCTCTTTTTCAAATGCAATCCTCTGTGGCCAAATTATTCAAAATACGCAGGGTGTGAACGGGTGCGGCCCTAACTTACGGAAAATATTTTTGCATGACTTGCGAGTTTTGCGATAAGTATATCATGCTAATAATTTTCATAGCTCAGTACATACCTCAGTTTAACCAACACGCAACAAGTCACCACAACTTGCTTCACTGGTGAAATGATACTTGAGGTAAAATCTTCTGCATAGCACAAGTTATGTTGCATAGTACTCTAAGGTAACTGGATTGAAACACGTCTGTGATACTGACTGTTAATTTTCGTATATATACTGATTGTTTACGACTCAAGAACCATTTGCGATGCCTGGATACCACTTAACGCCAATTGATCGATCTGGGATCGACAAAAAGAACTTATGTCCTAAATGCGACGAGCTCCTCAGAGAGGCAGTGCAGACCATAGCGTGCGGCCACAGATATTGCAAGGCATGTGTGGAAGATATTCTAAGGTACGTTAAGGTGAATTTGGCTGATTATAGATGTAAGTTTCTATTTCCTAAGAAATTATAATTACTGTGATGACTCGATACGATGATAGATTACGTTTAGTCTTTCTAACCATATTTAATTAAAACGTGAGTAAAATAGATTTATGGCAGTCATTGTATTGAGTAGAAGTCATGACCTAATAAATCTGTTGGATTAAGTCTGTGCTTTGTGACAAGTATGTACAATAGTCAATCATGCATTTAGAAGCTTTTAGTTTTGTTTGTTTTTTTTTATTTTAGTGCTTCTTTCTTAGCTCAGCATGTATCTTAATGCTTTCAAATTCAGTTGCATACTGAAACTCTTGCCTGCATCTGTTTCTTACCGGGACAGGGTTATATTTTTCATGTAAGGAAAGTGGTTTAAGCTACATTTATTTGAATTCATTAAAGTTTTTGTATTCTCTATAATCTCCAGTCAGGGACCAAGAAAATGTGTCATAGATGGGACAATTATTCAGCTAAAACAGGTAAGTTGCCCTTTTAAATCCCGAAAATCTTTAGAATTCAACTTGTCTTACTAAATCAGTCATAAGGTATCAAATTATTGCGTGAGGCTCCCAGAGCAAACGGCGGAAACGACTTTATCAAGTGAGACGATCGCCTTTTTCTCCATTGAACGAGACAGAATCACGAGTCACCAGCAGCCTTACAAGGACGATTTGAAGAATCACATTCGCACTTTAAAGAAAATAATAAGAATTGAAACATTATGAACTAAAGTATCAGAGAAAAAGCGCTCAAAATTGCGTGCGTAAAACGTGTGAAACAAGGCCTGGAGGCAGATCGAATCGATACTGCTGACTTATTTCATATTTTGGACTTTTTTGATTGACACTGTATCTTCAATATCCTTTTCTTGTCTTTGTCTGCATCCTAGGTTTTCCAGGACCGATTTGTTGAGCGAGAAATCCAGTCATTGACGCTACACTGCGTCAACTATGAGCTCGGTTGTAAATGGAAGGATGAACTGAGAAAACGAGAGGTAAACCTTATTATGCTATTGGCCATTTTCATTTGAGTGTCAAAAGGGATACTTGATTACCATCTTGACTTTCTCGTCCGCGTTTTCTCGCACTGCGTGCAGTTCGCTTGTTTTCAGTTCGTGTTCTTTGTGGTATCCTCCTTTGTCTTGATTGGCCATTGTGATATTCCGAAACTGAGTCGAAGTGCGCCCAATTACTGATTCAAGGTGCGATTACTTCAAATATACATGTTTCCTCGTAACCCTTATTGTCAGCTATCAATGCTGACAAAACCTCGTGAGGTTCGACGTCGATGACTATGATATCCATTGCTTATTTAAAGTAATTTTTAATTTGGCTGCCTTTATACAGGCCCATGAAGCTGTTTGTGAGTATGTGAAAGTACCTTGTGTTCACTCCGATTGCGGCGAACTGGTAACTAGAGCCCAGTTAGCAGACCATCTGAAACAGAGGTGCCAGTATAGATTGGACACATGTGAGTACTGCCATACTCAAGTCATTTTTTGCAGTTATAAAGGTATGTACAGTGATAACTAAATAATTTAACAACCTACCAACGTGCTCAACTCCAACGGACATTTCTCGATAAAGATACGAATCGATATTTAAGCTGTCACCGTAACGTCTCTGAAAATGCACTGTCATTTGAAAGTATTTCCTTTGAATGAAAAGGACCAAGCTAAAGTTCACCTGACAACAACGACGACGATAATCATCTTTTTAAACATTGGTGTTACACCTTGGTCTGTGTCTTGGTCTGTGTCTCACATGAATTCTTTTAGTTTGCTTTTGAATAATTAGACATCTTGAAATTCAAAATACTTGAATGGTGGCTGAGACCTACGCCAGTCGAAACTCTCTAGGCGAACAATTTCGTAAGCTGGAAGCCCTCCTTACCATCTCCTCGACAAGATTTGCTTCAAAAGTTTATAGGTTCGAGGTGCTCAAATTAAATAATGATCTTCTCTCCAAGCTCTCACAAGCTTCGATGTGGCTGAAACATGACAGAAGCATAAGGTGGTACGTAATACGTGTGCTGCCTTCTTAATTTTGTCTAATGGATGTTTTTTGCTATTCATACGACAGGAACATTATGAAACCCAGTGCCCTGCGGTGCTAATCGAATGCGCAAAGTGTAACAGGAAGGACATTCCTCGTGGGCAGGTAAGCTCAGATATACTTTCTCCAATGGTTTATAAGAGAGGCAAGTCTCATGAACTACCATCCATGATTTTAGATTAGGAAAATCAACAATTACAGTGCTTTGATCAGATATGGTGCAATTACTACTTAGTATCGAAAAATTTATATATTCTTTCTAGATCAATACGCTTGTCTGCCATTTCAATACACGTAACCAACCCAAAAGTAATTGTGGTGAATGATTATTTAGTATACACCACACAGAAGCAAGTAGCTTGTTTATTTCTAT